TAGAGATGCAAACATACGCAGTGGATACGAGACCATATAAAGTGATGCAAACATACGTATTGAATATGAGACCATGTATAGAAATGCAAACATACGCAGTGAATACGAAACCATGTATAGAGATGCAAACATACGCAGTGAATATGAGACCATGTATAGAGATGCAAACATAAGCAGTGAATATGAGAACTTGTATAGAGATGCAAACATACGCAGTGAATATGAGACCATGTATAGAAATGTAAACATGCGCAGTGAATATGAGACCCTGTATAGAGATGCAAACATACGCAGTGAATATGAGACCATGTATAGAAATGTAAACATACGCAGTGAATATGAGACCCTGTATAGAGATGCAAACATACGCAGTGAATATGAGACCATGTATAGAGATGCAAACATAAGCAGTGAATATGAGACCATGTATAGAGATGCAAACATAAGCAGTGGATATGAGAACGTGTATAGAGATGCAAACATAAGCAGTGAATATGAGAACAGTGTATAGAGATGCAAACATACGCAGTGAATATGAGACCATGCATAGTGAGGACAGCATTCAGGGTGCAGACACACGAGTACTGATAAGATTCCGGGCGCTCAGCGAGTTACGGGTGAGGGCGTGCATTCACCTAGACCGATACGGCAATGACCCATATATAGAAGGCACGATACGGCAATGACCCATATATAGAAGGCACGATACTCATCTGGACGTGTCTCTAGATCAGCTATGTAGCTAGACTACACAGTCACACAGTCACATACGGTCTCATGTAGCACAGCAAAATCAGCTATGTAGCTAGACTACACAGTCACACAGTCACATACGGTCTCATGTAGCACAGCAAAATCAGCTATGTAGCTAGACTACACAGTCACGCAGTCACATACGGTCTCATGTAGCACAGCAAAATCAGCTATGTAGCTAGACTACACAGTCACACAGTCACATACGGTCTCATGTAGCACAGCGAGCGGTAGTTTCCATTGGGGAAGTATCCCTCGGGTGTCTGAAACGCCATGCCTGATTTGAGCCACACGTAGTCGTACACGCCCTTGGCTGTTTTAAATCCTTCCTCCACAAGGCCCTGTGTGCAGGCGTGGCAAGGAACGAATCATGTACGGCCTTGTTCTTATTTCGTTGGGTTTTGGGTTTCTATTGGATGGTGTGGCTTTTCGGGGGGGCCTTATTGTATTTTGTGGTGGTCGCAAGTGGCGTAATACGGCTACAGCCGCAATACAGAAGGATAATGCACACACACACATCATAGTTTAAATCGAACGTTTACGTGACATCACTAGTGCACCTCTTTTTGTCATAACACAGACATAGGTCAAAGTACATGAGGGACCGAACAAGCCAAAACAATAAGACTTGCTACTCGAAACGATACATTCGGGAGATTGCAGAGGTTTAGTCGAACAAAACACGCAATCCATACACACAGTGCAAAGACTTCTGAATGCAAGATACAGCACTGCACGCACACACCGGAAACACGTGCGCAGTATACAACCACATGCACACGACAGTCTCTCCATTACATCAGGCCACACACCATGCACAGTAAACAACCACATACACACAACAGTCGTTCCATTGCATCAGGGACACACACCATGCACAGTATAACAACCACACACACCCAACAGTCTCTCCATTACATCAGGCCACACACCATGCACAGGATAACAACCTCATACACCCAACAGTCTCTCCATTACATCAGGCCACACACCATGCACAGTATAACAACCTCATACACACAACAGTCTCTCCATTACATCAGGCCACACACCATGCACAGTATAACAACCTCATACACACAACAGTCTCTCCATTACATCAGGCTACACACCATGCACAGTATAATATCCTCATACACACGACAGTCTCTCCATTACATCAGGCCACACACCATGCACAGTATAATAACCTCATACACACGACAGTCTCTCCATTACATCAGGCCACACACCATGCACAGTATAACAACCACACACACACAACAGTCTCTCCATTACATCAGGACCACGCACCAAGCGAAGTATAACAGCCATATACACTCAACAGTCTCTCCAGTATATCAGGGTCACACACTATGCACAGTATAACAGCCATATACACTCAACAGTCTCTCCATTACATCAGGGCCACACACCATGCGCAGTATAACAGCCATATACACTCAACAATCTCATCATTACATCAGGGCCTGAGACCCCCACTCGTTCCTGGAGTCATATTTGTACAGGCACGTATGCATGCCATATTTGTACAGACACGTATGCATGCCATATTTATACAGATACGTGCATGTCATATTTGTACA